GCTTTGAGTGAACAATTAACAATTAACAGCTAACAATATGTCTACCACGATGCATCCAAAGATACAAAGGGTGACTTAAAAAGTCACACACACAAGACTCTCAAAACCCTAAACCCTTATTTTACACTCAAGTTTTTCTTGTTGTGAGTGCTTGTTTTTTCCTAGGGTTTTCGCCTCCTTAAATAGTAATGCAGACTGGGCTTGGGCTGGTCAAAAGTAACAGCAGGAAGAGATGATTTCAATCTTCATAAATAGCAGCAGAAATTAGGTTTAACCAAGTTAATCCAATCTCCACAATTCAAGGTGCTAAAAAATAGGCCATAGGCGTTTCCTCTCATGATCAGCATTGAATAGAAAGTTTCCTAAAATATAGCCTGAGATAAATAAGGAAACATAACAGAAAACAAAATAGCGCTCATGCTGGCAGATACCGATGTCACAACATTCAGCTTGACATCCAATAAACTCTGTATTAGCTAACCAAACATATCCTGCAGAACACTACACAAGTATGTCATGACATCAGTCAAGACATCTACGCACATAACAATGTTTTACCACAAAATGCAACCAATCAATCAGATTTCAAACCTTATGCAGAATCTTCTTCATAATAGTAAAAACAAATATTTTATAGTTTCCTAAAAAGTCTCAAAGATCCTTTTTATGAAATCCAATTAAATATGTACTTTGTTCCTAATAAATCTCTTTAACCTGCGCATACTGATGAGGTATATCCAACAGGATCTCATCAAACCAAAACACCTCTGTCAAGAGATATAAAATAACAGCTCCTGTTGTACCAGACAAAGATTGCATGACATTTGTGTCGACATCTTGATTAAAACACATGACAGCAGTTCTGTCTTGACAGTAGATGAAGATGTTATAACATCTTGCTTAATATCAGTGCATAATCATGTTTTACCAAAATTTAGCCAATCATAGAACCATAGACAATCATAGAATCATGGAACTAACAGTTCTCATAATCAATTACCCTATAGGGGTAAAACCTCAACAACAGATTTTGGCCACGAAGGCCTAATTTCCTCAAACTCAAAAACCTCCTAAACCCTTAAATCAACTTTAAATACATTGAATCATATATTAAAAAAAATGAAGGCAATACTCCTCATACCTTAATTGTCGACTCTAAGCCTTTCTCCTTGATTCTTAGAAACCTTGCGAAACTTTTGCCCCAATCCTCTTCCTCAGAACTCTGACCTATATTTCTTCCCTTTTCACGGTCTAACAGGAATAAATCCTAATTCCCTCAAAACTCCTTTTTGTTAAACCTAACTTTGGGCCTTAAAATTGGGCTTTCCAACTTCACCCTCATTAACTCCTCCTCAAATGTCCATTTTGCCCTTAATTCAATTATATTTATTTAAATTAATAATAATACCAATATATTCATATTATATACTATTATTTAAATAAATAACCCAAAATCCATAGTTCTCAATACTTCATACAAACCACTGCAAATCACCAAAAATACGAATATTCATATTTAAATAAATTAAATAAATATTCAAATAAATTTGGGGTGTTATACATCTGACTGTCTATAGAAGGTGTGAGTATGACTATTGTGTTTATGTTAGGAGTCTTGATGATGGTTCTTGAAATTCTGTTCTCAGGGGACAGATGTTGAACACGATGTCTGGGACAACATGTACCACAAGTTAAACCAAATTGACAGATTATCACATATACTAAGGAATTAAATGCAGAAAACAATAAAGAACACAAAAGAATTGGTAACCTAGTTCAGTACAACTACTCTTACATCTGAGGGGCTTCCAACCCAAGAAATAAAATCCACTCTCAATAGTATTAGTACAATTAGTCTTAGATAAACAACCCTTGTTCAATGCATACTTCCTATTACTACTCGTGTCTTTCTATTTAGGACTCCCCCTAAATAAGAGAACCTTTCTCACTTTCTCTTAATCACAACCCAAGTGATCAATGCTTATAAAAGATTAATAGTGTTAAATTATAACTCAACCAAACAATGTACCTTTATGCCTTAGATATTCAATTTAGGCTATTTTAGAGGTTTACAACAAACAACAATACAAAGACTAAAAGAACAAAAACCCTAGCATAGTAGATCTTCAACGCTTGCTTCGTGTGTGTCTTCAAGGGAAGAATGGTTTTCTTTAAATAGCAATCCGTCCTTTGAGCTTTTCTCTAATATGCATTAGATTTGATAACAACCATATTTGTTTTGCTTTTAAAAACAACTACAAAAAGATATGAGTTGATTTGATCTTCATTTTATTGGATTGATCTTATTAAATTTTTCAACAAATCTTACTGAATAACATATTGCGAAAAGATACAAATCATAAACACCAGATCTTCCATGAATCAAACAGAATTTCACTCAAAAGATCTCACAAACCATGACCTCTAGACTGAGGCCAAATGTTGCACACATGCTGGAACATCTTGTTCCATATGTTGCATATTCACCAAAAATACATCTTGTACTACCCATGTTGTTTTATCAGATGCAACCAACATAAATTATGTTCCTCATGGGACAGATGTTGGACCATATGTCTGGGACAACTTGTCCCCAACTTGTTATACCAGGATAAACACAATATGACAAAAACATAAAATTAAAGTGAAAACAATAAAGAACAAAAGAGAATTGGTAAGCCAATTCAGTGCAAACAACACCTACATTTGGAGGGCACTCTACCCAAGAAAGAAAATTCACTCTTTAATTGAATTAGTACAAAGCATCTTATATGAAAAAGCCTCTTGTTCATTTCCCGTCTTTTTAATTCTACTCCGAATATCTTTCTACTTAGGCTCCCTAAATATGAGAACCCACTGCCACTTTCTCACAATCATTAATTTCAAGCGATCAATATCAATAAACACAATGATAAATCTTGAATACAATTCAACTATACAAACCAACTATTATATCTTATGATATGAATGAAGCAATAACGTGGTGTACAAGAAACACAAACAAAAGACTCATCCTAAAACCTAAATTATCACTAAAGCTCGTGGTCATCAGGGCATGGAATGAGTCTCTATATATAACAATCCATTATGGACTTTTTCAATGGGCATTAACAACTCTGATTGTGTCAGAAATTATAGGAGATATAGTTGGATTTGTTTCTCCAAAACAGCTCTAATAAATAGATTTTATTGGAATTTAAATTTAAATCTCCTTGATTTAAATTTAGTTTAATTAAATAATCAAACAAATCATATTTCTAAAAGATAGCAACAAACCTTGTTGCACAAGTAACAAAAATGCGCGCTATAGTTAGATGGAAAATGAGCGCATACATCAACAGCCTTGTCTTGCAGACAAGGGCCACATGTTGGGACATATGTTCTCACATGTGACTTTCTTCATAAAAGAAGCTAGAGCCAGATGTGCCACACCATCTAGAACATCATGGCCAACATGTGTCCATATCATGTTATTTTGCATAATGTAACCAATCTAAAAAGAAACAACAATCTCCCCCTTTGCAAATTTTGACAAAACAACATTCTTCAAAAACATACAAGATGTGCACCATAAGTTGAGAATTAAGCACACCACACAAAGAACAAACAATAGCAGCAGCAGAAACATCAACAACATGCAGGATGGAAGTTTGTTGTCGAGTATAAGTGCTCGATGATGATTCAAAGCTTTAGAGAGAGGAGTTCAGTATCCTGTAAATTAGGCCTCGTCCACCAAAAACTGATGATGTTGATCAGTTTCTTGATGAAGTGGATAGCTATTACAATGATGTTTGGTGGGTTGGGGTTGTTTCTAAAGTTCTCAAGGACTCAAAATATATTGTTTATTTCAGGAACTATAATGAAGAACTGGAGTTTGAACATTTCCAGTTGAGGCTACATCAGGACTGGGTGGATAATAAATGGGTCATGACTTTTAAGGTATGATTGCAATGTTTGTTCTTTTGAGTATGCGCACTGACACTTGTGGCTTCTCACTATGATGGTGAGGCATCCTGTTGATGTTTTTAAATTGATTTCTTCTCAGAAAATAGTTTACATTTAATAACACAGTTAAGATGATTAATGACTGAAATTCAAGTCAGTGATTATTAGTGGATTTCGTTTATCTGTTTCGTCACTTGCTTTTGTGGTATAGATTTCAAGAATCTGGATTATCATGTTTATCTCAGTACATAGCCAAATTTACTCTGCATTTGTTTCCAACATTGTGAGTTTTGTTAATTGGTGATTGTGTAACATAACTTTCATATCACCTAACACAGTCAAAGTATTCAATTAATTCATCCATACTATTTTGTTCATATGATTGAAATATGCTTTATCTCCATTTAACTTTGTATGATCGGCTCAACTGATAAGATTTGTTGCATAAAATTTTCTTCAATTTTTTACCTTGTCAATTTACATTAAAATTTGTCTGTAGTTCGGTAGACTCGGCTTTCATTTGCATTATAATTTGTTTTACTTCTACCAAGGTGGAAATCATGTGTTTCCCAGGCTTGTTATCATATCACCGATTTTTATCTTCTTGTGTATTATACATTGATTGAAAGAGTAGTTTGAATACTGTCTAGTAAAAAAAAATCGTTTGAGTAACCACGTGCACGATCGTGTTGGCTCAAGTTGTATACCATCAAAGAAATTGGTTTATTAAGACATTTACTAATATTGTTGACCAATACTTAATGTCGACACGATAGCAACCAGTGTTTTAAATTATGATCCGCTTTGCCATTGTAGCTAGAATCACAAGGTTTATGAGGTCTTAGCAATATGCCATGATAAATGATTATAATTTCATATATTCTTAGTCTTTAAGTAAACAGCTCCATGAGAGCAGCATAATCAAAGACTGAAACATAACAAACATTGCTGTAAAGCAAGAAATTGAAAGGATTACGATGCATTGAAACAGAACATAACGAGATTTTAATAAACTTATTTTAACTAATATGCATACTTCAGAATCAGAAATAGATTCAGACCTCTTTGACTTCAACAGGAGCAGCAGCAGCAGGTGCAGTTTCTTTGACTTCATCTTTGTTTTCTTCCTTCACATCCTTTACTTCCCCTTCAATTTCAAAAGCTGAAGCAGGGAATGTCCTGAAAAGCCCTGTAACAGCCCTGAAGGTGATTTTGCCAGTAGGTGGTTCATCCATAACGATTTCATGAAGAGGAAGCCACATTAAGAGCTCCTTCACCTTCACACCAGTAAGCTTCTTGATCTTACCAACCTCAACAGTGGCTGTGACCTCAGTACCATAAATCACATGCCTATCAACTTTCACAAACTTGTGGTCATAGCTGGCTTTCTGCTTTAGCCACACAAACCCACTCTCCCTATGGTATCCACATTCTTCTATATCTTTCAATGGCAAAAGGCCATTGGGCATGCTTATTTCCCCGAGCAGTTCCTTGGACTTGATTTGGCACATTTCATCTCCATAGTACATCTCTGACTTGGCTTTGATCTCTTCCGTGATCAGAGACATGTTGTGTTTTGGTATGTTTGATCTTTGAATGAATTTAATGAGTAACTTGATTGTGAATGAATGAATGACTCTGAGAGCTGAAGAGAAGGTTTCATATATAGTTGTGAATCTATGACATTGCCCTTATATTTTCCATTAACTTCATCAATGCCATTGTCTTTTAAACACTGTCAATTTTAAGATAGCTGCTTGTGAGAAAATTAAATGAACGCTTCAATTTTTATATTTTTTTCTTCAAATATGGTTGTGGAGATGAAATGTGACCCACATCAACGCCTTCTTTCATTAAATGGCGGAAATTTTTAGAAAAGATATTTACATTAGAATGATTAGGAATATAAATAGATATTCATGAAGACGGATATTATGATATCTATATCTAGATTATTAGATAAATATAATATTTATATCCGTCTCATATTCATGCGCCGCGTATATTTACAAATATTCATGAATAATATTTTCTTTTATAAAATTTATTTTGAAAAAACTATTTTTAACTTTTCTTAAATACACAAAAATTTATTATCATATAACATTGATACAATTCTCTTTTAATTTAACAATAAAATTTTATTGCATTAATTTTCTTTTATTCACCAAAACATTATTAAATCCAAATATAATATCTATACATTTTATTTTTAACCAAATGAATAAAAGATATTGTGATTGTGAGTTATGATGGAAGAACATACGATAGAGAAGTAGGAAGGAGACACTAGTTTGAAGAGGAACGACGACACTAGTTAGTTAAACTATGAAATTATTAAAGTGATATGAAATAATGAGGAATTTGAATATGAAATGTCTAATCGAATTTGAATGAAATGTAAAAGGTTTTCTTCAAATAAAATTTCAAAAAAAAAAAGACAAAAAAAACATAATAAAATTAACTTTTTTAAAAGATGAAAAGATAAGATATAATAAATTAATAGTATATAAATGATTTTTATAATTAATTAATAGATATAGATATTCGCGGATACAAATATCGTTAAACTCGTATCCATATTCATTAATAAACAGATATTTAAACATCTATTTATTTTATATGTAGATATCAATTAAAATATTTATCCCATATCAGTAATATATTTTATTCACGGAGAAGGATTTTTTTTATCATCTCTAAGAATAAGTAGAAATACGTGAGACAGTTCAAAAAAAATTGGTTAACACTTCTATACCTTGAGATTTAGTTAGGTATCCCTACATTCATCTAATAAAATAATAATATTTAATGACATGTCACATTTCATATATATTTTATTTAATAATAAATTAATTTTTAAATGAATTTTCATTAAAAATATCACTATCCAACTACTTATCATAAATACCTAAAAATTTGTCAAATAAATTTGCAATGTGATAAAACTTTTTTTTCACTTTTATTTTAAACAATTTTATTTTTCTTTTTATTAATTTAAGCATAAACTTTTTTATTTGATTTTTTATAAAATATTATTAAAATATTTTTTCATATAAATTCACACTCTAAATATTATATTGTATTTTAAAATATAACTAAGTTTATTTATCTACTAATTTATCACATAAATAAAAATGTTAAATATGTTTGTGATCTTCTTAAATATCTTCAATTTCGTTTTTAATCCCTTAAAATATTTTCTTTAAAGAATGGTCCTCATAAAACTTTTAATCCACACTTTGGTCTCGTATGCAACTTAGCGACAATTTTTACAACTTAGTGATAGAACTAGCGACAGTTTTAACAGCGGATTATTGCCTAGTGATTGAATTAACGACCGTTTTAGCGACCTTTTAGTTTTAGGGATAAAAAATATGGATGAAAATTTTTAAGAGGACCATTCATTGAAGAAAATATTTTGAGGGACTAAAAATGAAATTTGAGATATTTAAGAGAACCACAAACATATTTAACCCTAAATAAAATGTAACTATAGTTGTTTATAACGTTGTAACATTGTAATTCTAATTTATCACATAAATAAAATGTAGCTATAGTTGTTCTATAATCGCAGAGGTAGACATCGTTGGTCATATTCGCTAATAAGATATATCGTGTTCATTATGTTTAACTTGTGTTTCTCTAATCTTTTATGCTAGTTGGTGTTTTAATAATTGGTATCAGATGATGATTAATCCTTGTGCAAAACTTAAGGTGACAAGGTTCCACGTGAGAGATAATTTAAGTTTATGGAAATGAATGACTAATAATATGTTATCTCAACAAAGTTCCCAAAAGGCATTGCATGAGACAAAAGCGACCAACATGGATGATACTTATTCAACAGATATGAAGGAGAAGGCAACGAGATTGACTCACCTATATGTTTCAGAGGAGGTGATGTATCATTTCTCGGTCCTAACAACATCAAAGAAGGTTTGGAAAAAACTAGAGAGTCAGTATATGTCAAAGTCGTTGGTAAACAAATTATTCGCGAAACAGCGACTGTTACGTCTAAAGATTCAAGAAGGATCTGATTTGCAAAACATGTAAATATCTTCAACAACATAATCACCGACTTTGTGAGGCTTGTAGGTGAAAATCGATGATGAAGATAAGGAAATTATCTTATTGTGCTCGTTATTAGGTCCATATGACCACTTGGTGACTACTCTTACCCACAAGAAAGATAGTATCATTCTTCATGTGATTATTGCTACACTTTTCTCATTCTGAAAGGAGACAAGGTGTAGAGGAAGGAACTTAATGCGATGGTTTGTATTTGAAGAGGTGTCGAAATCAAGGGCAGAACAAGTGTAAAAAAGGTTCTAGAAAAGGATGTATAAATCCAGTAAATGAAAAACAACAAAGTTATAGTTGCAAACAAATTGTACATTTGAAAGATTGTTCAAACAAAAAGCAAGAATCGTTCAGTTATATAAATGTGGTTCAAACCGATGATTTTGGAAGTGAAGCATATATGTTGTACATTTCATCCATCAAGTACAAAAATGCATGAATTCTTGACTCTAGTTGTTCTTACCACATGAAGGTGCACTAGGATTGGTTCACTACATTCAAGTAAGGTAATTTTGGATTTTTTTCATATGGACAATGGTAAATCATGTACTATTACTAGAATGAGACAAATTAAAGTTGACATGGATGATTGTGGTGTGAGAATATTAAACAATGTCAGATGTATTCTAGAATTAAGGAAGAACTTGATTTCCCTAGGTAGTCTACAGGAAAAAATTTCTCCTGCATGTCTGGTGGAGATAGGGACATTGTGAAGGTTAGAAAGGGTTCTTTGATTGTGATGAGATAAATGAGGATTGTGTGTAACATCTAAAAACTATTACAAAACATTGGTGTAGGGGATGTTGCATTAGTTGAATATGACAATGATGAAACCAAACTCTGGCATATGCGTATGTGTCATATCAGTGAGTGTGAGATGATTGAACTACATAAGATAAATCTATCAAATGATCTTTATAACTTTAATATGGATTTGTGAAAGTATTGGGTGTTTGGGAAATAAATCACACAATAGGGGGAGTTTTAGTTTGTGTGCATTCTTATATGTGAGGGGCCTACAAAATAGGTTTTTGTGGGTGGTTCCAAGTGTTTTGTGACTTTCATAAATGGTTTTTCTTACAAGGTTTGGATGTATTTCTTGAAATATAAATATAAAGTCATTACCGGATTTAAGTTGTGGAAGAAAGAGCTACATAATCAAATAGGCAGAATAGTAAAGTATTAATATTTTAAAAATAGGATAAAATACACTTATTTGAATTTGAAGAAGTTCTGTAAATAACATGGTATTCAAATGCATTTTTTAGTTTGTAAGACACCATAACAAAATGGTGTTGTAAAGGTAATGAATATGTTTCTAATTAAAAATGAAAGATGTCTCTTATTAAATGTAGGACCATCAAAAGGTTTATGGGCAGAGACATTTAACACGGTGTGTTATCTTATCAATCGATCACTACAAGCTTCAATAGAGGGGGAGGTTATAGAGGAGGTATTTTCCATTTATCCATTGATATTGACAATTGAGGGTTTTAGGTGTCCAATTTATGTGCATATATCTAGAGAAGATCGGTCCAAAGTTTATCCAAAGTCGAAGAAATGTGTTTTTTTGGTTACCTAAAATGTGTGAAGGGGTTCAAGTTATAGGATCCGATTATAAAAACATGGTAATCAGTAGTGATGTTATTTTAATGAGAAGTTAATGTTGAATAAGTTATTTTCAACAAATGTACCTGAAATTCTGGTATGCAGATTTCAGATGTTCCAAGAACATTGATCTTTGCTTGAACAGAACAAGAAAAGAGGGTAACCAATTCAAATTTCTTTAAATTGTACCAATGTCATGACCTCTGTTGTGACATCTGCAGGCTGACAGACCTATTTATCTAACCATTTAAATTGTGTAGAATTGTAAATGCAGAAAGATAAATAACACCAGTAATTGTTTACCCAGTTCGGTGCAACATCACCTACATTTGGGGGCTACCAAGCCAGGAAGGAAATCCACTATTAGCAGAATTAATTTAGAGTTAAACCTCCAGTTTACACTCCTCACTTAATCTCTACCCAATGCAATTTCAGCCTAGAGACATTCTAGTACCTGAGTATACCCACTCACTCCCCCTCAATCACACAACAGTGATATCAAATAATTACAGAAATCAATATGAAGAAACAATTCATATACACCTTGATCATGCTTCACAGCTTTGATCAAGAAACTCACACACTCTTGCTTCACAGCTTTGAGTGAGGCACATCCTAGAATCTACCTAACTCATGCAATCATCAACCAGACAATTGCTTGGATTACAAGTATTCCTAAACAGACTTTACACGTGAAGACTAGTCTTTTTCACTTACAAATATGTCTACCTCAATGTATCAACAGATACAAAGGGTGACTTACACACAAGGGACTCTCAACCCTAGACCTCTATTTTACACTCTGGTTTTTCTTGATGTGAGTGCTTTTTTTCCCTTGCTTCTGCTCCTCATTTTATAGTAGTGCAGACTGGGCTTG